ACCGAGTTTTTCTAAAAAACTCGGTACAACTCGGTATTTTGCTCGGTATTGATTATTGTCAAGCAAAATAGACCAAGAACTAACAATATCGAGTAATACCTAGCAAAATCGAGAAATACCAAGCCATCCTGGGTCCGTTCCAGGTCGGGTTGTCGGGGCGCGCGATAAATAGTGAGAACGCATGACGCGATTCTAATGGCGGCCGAACTTAGAACTATGTCCTGTGACCAGACCAAATAAAAGTTCCATTGCATGACAATAAAGCGCCCAGATACCATTCCTTTAAACAAGCCCAATAAGCTTAAGAAAACCCCACCGTCGCTCAGAACAGCTAGCCAGCAATGCTAATACATTCAAACCATTACAAGAAATCGTTTCAAGTTCCTCAAAAAAGAGTAAACGTTTATAACCAAAATTGTTAATAAAAAACTACTGCAGTCTTCAAATAACAATCCCACTCATTAGCTCGAATTATTCAACCCCTTATTTCAGTAAAAAGTTTTAACGGTTCATTTAACAACACTTCAAAAATGGGAAAACAAGATGAAATAAATACTCTCCAACAGGAAGATAGCTACATCATCATTGTAAATAGAAAATAGTTACAGTTCAAGAGTTTATTTTTCAGAACATTGCTGCCTCTACAATACGATAGATTATTTAGTGCGGACACCGGACACAGTTTATCGTCCAGAGGCAAATCAGGTGCAACCACATCATCCAGTACCGAGCCGCGGTATTGAGTAGGGGATGATGTGACGCATTTTCATTGGGCTCTGGACGGCATCCGGTGTCCGCACCTAATAATTTCCCCTACAATACACTAGCAAAACTTCATGACTCTCTGACTTACCTTTGATATGAATAAAAGTTGACCCAAACATTACATTATTTTCAACAAAATACATAGCTTTTTCGAATAAAGAATGCATGATCCATAGGCAAGAGAATCCTCCTTGCATGATCCCCTGCTGAACCAAGAGAAATAGAGTAGTCATGTCACCATCTTGCATCTAAGCTTTGGACAAATGACAGAGGTCAGTCCATCTAACCCAAAATTGCTTCATAACATGTGCAGTATATATATTGATCTGTTTCACATACAACGCACAGAAACCATCTCTCAACATGTTGATTATTTTAGGTGGCTGTTTTTCACATCGAAGGATCTGTGACACAGATTTGTGAAACCCAAGCGGGTAATAAACAAATGCTGGGCCTGCAACTAGATCGCACAAGTTAGCTTTTAGTATCAAATAAATTATGTACTTCAGGCCCTTCAATGACTCTCCTAATCCTCTTCATAACTACATCAATATCACTTTCTGACAAAGATTTAAAAGAAAACTGAAACCATCCAGGTTCAATGCAGTGGCAAGATGACCCCGGTGTTGTATTAATCTTAGCTATATCCAGTAGCTTCTCCCACATTTCAAGCTCCCCTTTCTCACTGTATGAACGTAGAAACTTGCTCAAATCCACCCAACATGTAAGTCCCTCACTACCATTAGCACAGTTAACATACAGACTTTTCAAGCCGTGGGCAAACAAATGATGCATATTCTTAACTGTTGTTCCAATTAGCTGAAGGAATTCCGAAATGAACCGCTTATCTGATAACATTAAGACGAGCACGCGTTGGGTAAGTATGGAGATGGATGAGTATCTTGTGAACTTTGCAGCAGCAGCCACGACATTGTGATTTAAGGAGTAGATGACCCCTACATGAAAACCTGGAAGGGAGAGATTTTCCGAAAGCCTATATATTATATGAACCCTGCACTTGTCAAAATCTTCTGTGTCTAGAATCTCTGCAACACTCATGAACGTTTTGTCTCCATGGACTGATCCAAGATACAGCTCATCAGAAATCAAATGGATGTTCTTCTCCGAAGTGAATTCGAGTAAGTCATAAAGTGCATCCCTTCTCAATAGATTTCCCACAGGATTTGAAGGATTTGAGATAAGGACGGCACGAACCTTAACCCCTCGTTTCTTTGCTTGATTATAAGCTCTTTCAAGAGCAGAAATGCTTATATTGAAGTTGTCAGTGCTACGACAAGGAACAGGGATTAAATCCACACCAGTCCTCCACTTCAGATCCTTGTCAAACCTGTGGATATTGATGCTCAAGGTAATCAATATTGAATTCAGGATGCAATATGAGAATAGCAAACTTAAAACATAAGACAACTAAGGCTTCGTTTGGGGTGTCTTTCTTATTGCTTCTATAAATAACTTTCTAATACAAAAATTGAAATTTGTATATAAAATAGCTGTTTTAAGAAGCAGTAAGAAAGCCGTTCCAAATAAAATCTAAATAATTAGAATTGAAAAGATAGAGGACTTTGCATGCGAGCATCCAAGGGTTCTTGAGTAAAAAATGTACTTCAGCCAACATCCAGGGTTCACAGCAGCAAATCCTGATGAAGAACACGTAAATAAAAAAAAGTGAGAAAGGTAATTTTGATTTAACATTCACATTGTACCAGCAGGATATTGCTGAGACATTATTAAGCAACTGCTCCTTGGCAGGGTTTTGGGAAGAAAAAGGATGGGATAATTGTGGGATTGGTGTAGGAGAGTTTTATCTGATTCCATGCCATTGGATTAATGATTATGGCGCCGTAGCTTTTACAAAAATAAGTACTGCTTTCTTTTTTATAAAAAATGGTGCTCGTCGCATATGCAAACACCAAAAGCAATGGTGTTCATCATCATCATCGTTAGCCTAATCCCAAATTGTTGGACCCTAGCCTCATAAATATCCTCAATTCATTCCATTAAGTGCTACATGCGGTGTTAGCTTTATTTTAATTCTAGTCCGCTCGACTTGGTTTTAATGATTTCTTTTCTACACAACTTGATTCCATTTGGCAAGGCAGCTATAATAGTAAGTTAAAAGAATTTAACTTTCAAGTCCTCATAATATTCTTTTCTCGCATAATATTACAGCAATACTTGTCCATTTTAGCCACCCAATTTTAACAATAGAGTTTAAGTCCCAATATATACCCAAGTATTTTTATATAAATTCAAGGGAATCAAAATTATCAAATCTTGGGGACTTGTTCTGGAAGTTTTTTCAAGTCCTTTAACTGGAAATCCTATATCCTCTTTATGCAATTCTCTCAAAAAGCTTAAAAGTATTATCAAACGTGAAGCTTGGTCTAATTCTAATCTCATCAATTCCCAACTGGAAGAGCAACTTAAACTACAATCTGCTTGTTTGGCCATGGTGCAGGCCAACCCGTATGACCCTACTCTTATCCACTCATTTAAAGAGATTAACCAGAGGGTCTTAGATCTCTCATCTATGTGTTCCTCGTTGATGATTCAAAGGGCTAAAGTGAAATGGCTTAAACAAGGGGAAGAGGATCTTAAATATCTTTTCTCTAAGATCAAAATTAGGCAAAGCAGCACTAAGCAGGTGGTTAATCTTTTTGTGGCTTTTCCTGGAAAAGACAAAAGGGATGCTATTAACTGTATTGTTCAACACTTTCAAGGGCTTTTCAACTCTCCCCCTCCCTCTTCTTTGGATGTGAGTTCATTTCCTATTGGCAACTCTCTTCCGAACTTTTATTGTGATATTTTAACTGATTATGTTAAGGATAAGGAAATTAAAAGCTCTGTTTTCTCGGGAGCTTCTTCTTCCTCCCCTGGACCGGATGGTTTTAATTATCATTTTTACAAAACCAGTTGGCACATTACTGGGCCTTTAGTATGTAAAGCTGTTAGATCATTCTTTGCTAAAGGTTACATACCAATGGGAGTGAAGTCGACTGTGCTGGTTCTTATTCCTAAAAGCAAAAATGTGGAGTCCATCTCTGATTTTAGGCCGATTGCCTTATGTAACACTATCTACAAAATCTTTGCTAAAACTTTGGCTAATCGTTTAAAACCTATTATGCCTCTTCTTGTTAAGCACAATCAATCTGGTTTCGTGAAATCCAGGATTTCCACAGATAATATCATCTTGGCAAAGGAAATTTTGGGCTTGGCTAGCAAAAGAAGTAGACACAAGTTTTTTTGTGTTAAGCTTGATATTAGAAAAGCGTTTGATACGGTTTCCAGGGAATTTCTAATATCCAGAATGCTTCAAAAAGGTTTCCCTCATCACTTTGTTAATCTGATTAAAGCATGTATTTCTGACGTAAATTATTCAGTGTTGGTCAATGGGGCTCTTGAAGGCTTTTTCTCCTCTACATCTGGGCTTAGGCAAGGCTGCCCGTTAAGCCCTTACCTTTTTTGCTTGGTTATGGATGCTTTTTCCGCTCTTATTGATAATGGAGATTTTAAAGGGATAAATGTGGATGGTTTTTCTTTATCTCACCTTTTATATGCTGATGATGTCTTAGTTTTTGGAGAAGGTACCATTGAAAACTGCCTTTGTTTAAAAAGAATTCTTGCCTCCTTCTCTAATGCCACCGGTCTTCATGTCAATCTCACCAAGAGCTCGATTATGTTCCCAAAATCTGTGACCAATCAGGAAGAGATTTGTCAAATCCTCTCTATTCACAATATTTCAGATGTTATTACATATCTTGGTATTCCATTGTCTTTTAACCGTCTTAAAGTGGCTGATTTCATTCCCTTAACTGATAGCATTGCATCTAAACTGTCGGGGTGGAAAGCCAGTCTTCTTTCATTTGCTGGAAGACTCCAGTTCCTTAAATACACCATTTTGAACTCAATTGCTTATTGGATACGGGGTTCCATTATACCCAAAACTGTTTCTAAGTTTTTCAGGAAAGTGTGCTCAAAGTTCCTGTTTTTTGGGGATTGTAATGCGGGGAAAAAACTTCATCTGGTTTCCTGGGATAAAGTCACTTGTCCTAAGGAGAATGGGGGGCTTGGTTTACCTTCTCTAGCCGCACTTCAATATGCATTTAACTGCTCCATCATCATCCGGATGTATAACACTCAGTCTCCTCTTGCTCAATGGCTTTCTGCAAGATACATTTCTCCCTGGAAACCTATCCCATCCTTTGCCAGTAAATTTTGGAAGGCTGTTTGCTCTACTGCTGTGGTGGCTAGAGAAAAATTCTCTTTTAAAATCACTAGAAATGCCCCTATCTCTTTTCGATGGGATCATTGGGTTAACAACGCTAAATTGGAGGATTTCTTGTTACTGCAAGATTTCAATTTTCAGTTTCCCAATTCCTTTTCTGATAGCCTTGTTAGAGACTTTATTTCGGGGGATAATTGGATGCTCCCTATGTGTTTTTCTTCTCTGATGCAACTCAACATTCATAGTGTCAACATTGAAGAGGGTGCTGCTTGCCTATGGTGGGACAATAAAAAGAATTATAAGCATCATGACTTTGTTTTGGACTTTTACAAGAACCATCCTACTGTGACTTGGCATAACCTTATTTGGAAAAATAGACCTGCTTTGAGGTACTCGTGCACTACCTGGTTAGCTCTTGTTGGGGGTATTAAAACTGCTGAGGCTTTGCACCATCGGAATATTCAGGTTCCTTTAACTTGTAGTCTCTGTTTCTCTCACCAGGAAACTGTTGCACATTTATTTTTTGGCTGTCAGTATTCTTTCAGCATAATTAAAGCCTTAATTCCTGGGGCAAATGGCTTCTTGATGGAACCTTCTCTTTTACAAATCCTGGGTTGGCTTGAGGATGTTAATTTACGGACTGCTGATGAGAAGGCTTTCTTCTCATTAATCATTTGCTGTTGTGTTTACTTCATATGGAAAGAGAGAAATCAAAGACGATTTTGCAATATCCTGAATTGTTATAATTCCACGGTTTTTTGCATCAAGAAAGCTGTACATGCTAAGGTTTCTAACTGGAAAAGCTCGTCCTCATTGCTGGGGAAATTATATGCTGGAAATGCCTTCAATATCTAATGTTCTCTGGGATATTCCTAGAGCTCGTTTCACTGGTGTGCTGAAGTGGTTATATGTTGCGACTGTTTGGAGCATTCCTGTGACAATGATGCTGCTCCATCACTTCCCCTTGGATGGCTTTCGAGCAACCAGGGGACTGTATGCGCCGATGTTCTATTTAATTTGTCTGAGTCCAGGATTTGCTAACTTTGGAGCTCTTCTGGTTCTGGTTGTGGTTTTTTGGGTTTATTCTGGCACATTCTATTCAATTTTGTAGGCTGCTGTTATAAAGCCTTTTTTGGTTTTTATAGTTTTTGTTCTTAAAGTTTTCTTTTGGTTATAAGGTGGGTTTACTTTCCATTTTATACTTTTTGAGGCTCTCTTGAGTCTGGTTTTACATGTAACTTTTACCTCTTTTTAATATACGGGCAAAGCCCAAATTTTCCCCAAAAAAAAAAAATTATCAAATCTAGGCATCACACTATCGATAGAA